TAGAGAGAGAGAGAGAGAGAGAGAGAGAGAGAGAGAGAGAGAGAGAGAGCAGCTTACTATATAGCGAAGTGATATATGTACTCTCCGTAATGAAGGATATAGTGAACAGTAAATCGCAAAAGAGCTGCGCATTTCGTGTAAAGATGTAAAGGTGTGCATCACACTTTTGCTAGAAAATGAGAAATAGGTAGTAATGAAGACAGAAAAAGAGCTAATCGACCCAAAGCGACAACAGGCAGAAAAGATAATTTTATTATAGTGCTATCTAAACAAAACCGACCGATCTAACTGCTCCAAAAATCACCGCTGCATTAAATGAAACGCATCAAACGTCAGTCTCAACTACGACTGTTAAAAGACGTCTATTGTCTAATGGCCTAAGAGGATGTGTAACTGCAAAAAACCGAAATTAACACGTACACACAAGCAAAAAAGACTGGCCTGGACTAAAATATACAAAAACACAGTGGTATAAAGTGCTTTGAACTAATGAATCGAAATTTCAAATATTCGGTTCCAATAGAAGAGTGTTTGTACGCCGCTCAAAAAATGAAAGAGCATTAGAAACATGTATTGTGCCAACCGCCAAACATGAAGATGGCAGCGTAATGGTTTGGAGATGTTTTGGTAACAGTAAACTTGTCAGTCTAGTGAAAATAGATCAAATATTGAACAAAGAAGGCTATCTGAAAATTCTTCAGGAAGATACTATACCATCTGGGTTGAATGTCACTGGTTCTAACTTCATCTTTCAGCAAGATAATGACCTAAAATATATTTCGGAATTGTACCAAAACCTTATGAAAGAAAAAGAGCGAGAAAAATCAAATCATAGAGAGCTTTACAAATCATGGACAGCTTTACAAATCATGGAGTGACCTGTTCAATCACTTGATTTGTCTCTAATCGAACTAGTGTGGGATGAACTAGATAGAAGAGTGAAAAATCGTTCTCCAACCAATACTAGACAACTCTGGAAATATTTACAAACAGAGTGGAAAAGTTTGAATGAAAATTTTCACAAATTAATTAATATAATGCCCAAACTTTACTTAGAAATAGTAAAAAATAAAGGTGGTCATTTTGGTAAAGCAAAAATTTGATTTGGAATTACAATCACCTGAGAACTTTTTGTTGTTTTTGTTTCAATATATACTTATGTATTATTTGGCAAGTTTTAAATTGTAATAAATGTTTACTACATAAATTTTACTGTTTTAATTTGAAATTTCTTACTGCTTTCAAACTTGTGGTAGTGTATGTGTTTTAGTACAAAGATGTATATATTTTACAGAAGATGTTCAAAATAACCAGTATTAACTGCTATTTTTTTCATATCATCAAAAGAAACAGAGATATTCTAAGTGCACAAATTAAAGGAAACACCCTATTTAAGTTCAGTCTATTCGAATATCATATACATTTTGGAATGTTTTTATTTTATATTTCTTACTTACTAGACGATAGCATTTAAAACAATATTTTGACACGTGTTTTTAAAATATCCTTTGAATATTTAAAAAATAATATTATTGAGTATCATCTTAAAAATATTTATAAAACTTTATGTAAAAATATTACAAAAATATGAACATTTCAAGAAGTAGATCTAATGCTTCTTGTTTACTGGACAGAAAGATTTTAAGCTGTAAAATATTTTTGGAAACATTCTGATATGATTATATTTTCCAGAGTTACATCATTTTTTCAATTCTTTTATGATTAAAAAAAAGTGATCCTTAATTCTTGTGCGTAGGACATTTTTAAGTGATATAACTTATGAGTAACTAATAAACAAAAGAGGAAAAAGAATAAAAGTTTGAACATAAGTAATATTTTGAAAAAAATTGTAAAATAATGTCTAAATATTTTGTCAGTCAGCTTTCGTTTACTCAAGCGCTTTCAAGGTAAATCACAATAATATTCGAAATATGTTTCTTTTTTATCCAATCTCGTTTATGTTTTTCTCGTTCTAATTTGAATTTTCTCCGAGTTACTAACAGTATGTTTTAAACGTCACATCATGCAAATATTCTAATCTTCTGTTTCCTTTGTTGTCTTGGTTCAACAAACAGTATGTGCATCCTAAGGCCATATTTAGCGTAAATATCATTTGTGTGCGTATTTGCGTGCGTGCGTACGTGCATGTGTGTGTACATGTATGTGATAAACATCAGTTATATCACATTTGTGTCTTTTCGCTTACAGATTTAATAGCAGATTAAAAGCACATTTTTATTTCTAAATTATACAACTTAATGACGTACACTAGATAAAGCCTTTATTTTTTAGTAACACGACGGAAGCGGGTAGGGCAACATTTTGCCACTTAATATCAAGTGCGACAAGAAAAAAGTAATTAAACAAATAAGAAATTTAATCGCTCTTTTTCTAAAATGGCAGCATTTTATTTCAAATGATTGTACGTCGATGAAAGTACAAACGTATTTCACATTTCCTTTTACAAAACGATGCTCTACGGTTACCCTGTACACTTGCTGTGTGATCGTAAGTACTTTGTGGTGAAAAGCGTCGCTATTTTGCAGTCTTTGTCGCGTTTTTGTCGTCGCCGACGGAATGAAGAAACCATCTCACGAACACGTCGATCATCGCAACATATCCCCATAATGATAAATGCGTCGTGAACTCACGTAGTTACGCAAACAGCCGTTAAACAGATAGCGGTGTGACACATTCGCTCGCAAAAATTCTTCGGCACTCGTCGAGAGCGTCTCTATTTTTGAATTGCGCATGCATCCACGTCACAACAGCTTGGATATAAAATGACAAATCTTCACTCGTATTCTCGTCAGCTTTTGCCTTTCCATCGTAGCTTCACAAACATTTCGCTGAATGAATATATTATACATTCAGACGATAAGTTGTCTTTGATATCACGATATTGTTACAGCAATCGCGGAAATATTTTATAGAAATGTTCTTGCACAATAATTAGTCACACAAAGATGTCCTCTTTTACAGATGGTTATTTGCGGACGCAGGAACAGTGGAGGCTAATTTGAGAGCTCTGTATTGCCTGTAGAGTCGTTGTTTGCAGAATTGGTAAAATTCGACCTCGCGAGTGAAATTGCTGCGCACCAGGTTCTTCACTTCTTCGCTGACTGGCGGTTTGAAGAAGTTTCGATTGATCCTCATGAAGGAGTTTACTTGGTCTGAGAAAAAATTAAGTATAAAGTATAAAATAATAATAATAGTGTAAGAACTTTAACTATAATAGTAATAATAACAATAAATAATAATAACAACTTAAATTAAAATAATAGTATTAACAATAACAATATAATAATGGTAAAAATCTTAAATGGAATAAAAATTTACTGTTTATTATACCATAATAAACATCAGTAGCTCCTTGGAAAAATCGCGGTATGTAGTTCTCTAATACTGTAAGAGTTGTATTCATGTCTTCCAGCACACCAACTACTGCGTAATGCTTCTCTACCGCCAGCTTCGCACGCTCCAGAGCACCCACCGTGTTAAAGGGACTTTGGAAGAAAGAAACAGTTGCGTTAATGAGATATCAGACTTTGCATACATTTCGTGCTTAAATTTCCCAAATATTAAAATATGGTATGTAAAATATTAATATTCGTTATTAACAATTGCAAATGAGACTTTTCCGCGATTTATTCGCGACGAAGGCGTGTTCTTACGTGCACTTTTCGCTATGTCCACAGAAGAAAAGAGTTTGTCTGCGATGATCACCGATGCCCTCATGGATCTCGCCTTGCAAGTATCTACATTCACGATCACCCTTGAGAACGCACGTCTCAAAATCCTTCTTGAGCCAATTTGGATCAGGCAGTGGCAAATCCGGAAAGATCTGCTTCCTCTCGACATAATACCATGGCGCTCTTACGTAATAGTACCAAGATATAACCCTCTCTACGGGATCACGGACTATGTTGATGTAAATCGGCTCCGGCAGATGGAAGCTGATGACGAAGACAGAGGAAAGTAGAAAATGATGTACAATCATCCAAATTGCAAAGGCTAATCTCACGGTACTCACTCTGTGAAGTTAGTGAAGCAGACATGCTTCACATAGACAGATGGTTCCGAGTAACTGCTGACCATCCTGGCGAGCTGGAGCTGTGGATATAGAGGAAATCAAACCATAGCGTTAAATCTACAGATAGTGAATGAAACTACTTCGGAAGAAAGAAATTTTAAAGAGAAATTTTAAAGAGCATTTAAGATAAACATATCAATATCTGAACATATCCCTAACTCTGGACACTTCCATCGTTTTAATTTTTAAATAAAACTGATTTAATTCCATGTTTGTTAGCATCGAAGAGTAAAAATTGAGAATAAAAATTCTTTTATGTATCTTAAAGTTTTAATTAAAATAACCAAATATTCATTTTTACACCAAGAAGAGTGGGCAAAAGAGCCGAAGTTCTAGTCTACTTTCATGAAGAAAAAGAAAATTTTGATTAATTTATCCATTTTACCAAATAAACAATTGCTTTTTCATTAGTAACGGATACAAAGATGTACTAATCGTATTGATGCTTATGCAATAAATATTAGTGAATTATTTATAAAGTTGACCTTTTCAAGGACATTGGCACATATATACGTTCAAATTCGTTTAATTGTTTTTCAATTCAAAATTTTGTCAACAAAATATAACGAACGTCACTTTAAATGAACATTTTTCACAAAATTTTTGACAAAATTGCACAAAAAAGATCAATCTCATCTTATGATTACCCAAATAGAAATCGTATACGTTTCGCCAGTATAGCAAAATGGGTCGAAACCAAAAAGCGAATGTCTGGTTTTGGTACTGACTCAATACTAAGCCTAATATAAAAAAACTGTATTATTGGTACTGGTTTCGTACTAAAGTTAGGTACTGAATAGTCGTACCGTACGTGTACTGGCGCGTTACCGAAAAGTGTTTGTCGTTTTCGGTACTGGCCCTGTTCGTAGAATCAGTATTGAATACCCAAGTAAGAATCATATACAATCGTATACAATAGAGGATATTAGGCCAGTATTATGCCGAAAAACGAACGATACTAATATCCTTTATGGGAAAAAGAAAGAGGTCACTAACGCGAAACCTAGATAGCTCAGTGGTAAGAACGCTTGCCTGACAAGCGGAAGACTTCGATTCCAACCGTCGCGCCGAAGAGTTTTTCCTCATATGAATATTAAAAATAGACGTGTATAGATGCAAACGAGAGCAGCCCGGCCATGGTTTGATCTTTCTTTCCATACTATATAGTTGTGATATTAACAATTGTACAAATAATAAAATTTACTAGGAATCGATACTGCCCTTATAGAAATATTATACTAAGAATCATTGATAATTACTTATTATCCAGTATTTTTAATACTGAAAATAAGTAATTATCAATGATTCTTAGTATGATATTTCTATAAGGGTGGCCCAGTACTAGGAATAGGTACTTCCCCAGTACTAGGAATTAATACTTTTTTTTTATACTGGTATAGTACTGATTTTTGGTACTGTGACAGTACTGTTTACCGATACTGGCCCTTTTCTCTATCATTCCAGTATCACACCAATACTAAACCCCTACTACATCTGGTACTATGCCAGTAACGTTTACCATAAATCGATACTGAGCCACTTTACTGATGCCAATAGTAAATTCTTACTTGGGTAATAAATGTTATATTTGTATTATTTTAATCGAAGTGAAGAAGTTAAACATTTATTTTATATAGAAATTAATATTCAATAAATTAATTTTTAATTTGAAAAATAATCTAATCTTTAGTAACTTTAATTTATCTATATCTAACAATAATCTTTAGTTAGTATATCTAATACTAATCTAATATTATTCTTTCATTTAGATACTAATCTTCTCGATTATCTAATACTAGTCCTTAATGTATATATTATTAATTACACTAAGTATTATACAGGGTGTTTCTTAACCTCCACCCATGAAGCACATAGCGTTATTTCTTATGAAAAATTAAATCGAAAAATCTTGAACCATTTTTGTCTTTGATGCTTAACGAAGCAGATATTCTTTAATAAATTCCAGCAAATCCGCGCCGGTCCTTAGAAGTATACACGTTTATGAGCTGCGCGCTTGGTAGTGTGCATGAATGTCCGCCACTGCATTCACGCACACTACCAGGCGCGCAGCTCATAAACGTGTATACTTCTAAGGACCGGCGCGGATTTGCTGGAATTTATTAAAGAATATCTGCTTCGTTAAGCATCAAAGACAAAAGTGATTCAGGACTTTTCAATTCAATTTTTCATAAGGAATAACGCTATGTACTTCGTGAGCGAAGGTAACCCTCTATAATATTTCTTCATGATATTTTTAACTCCTTAGAAAATAGTGCACATTTATCTCTTGTCCAGATCGTTAATTTCTTTTAACATGCCAGTTTTTATCCAGAAGTGACGTTATATATTTTCTACGATCTAAAAACCCTTAGAGCGAGGAAGCAAAACGTTTCGCGGAAGTGACGGACGCTAACTGGAATCTTCGCGTTTGAATTTCACGGATTTCAAAAGCGGAATATATCCTTCTTCCGATCGCTACTTCTCCCATTTTTTCTCGCGTTCCGATCGCTATCCTACGTAACCAGTTTTTATCGAAGGGTGACGTTATCCACGTTTTCTCCCCCGTCACGCGATCGGGACGCAGTAGGGCTGCAAATGAGGAAGTACTCTAGAAGGAGACGGAAGAGACAGAACCGTTAGCGCGCGAATCACTTGATCAACCGTATCGTCGTACTTTTCTATCACCTTATAGGGCTCAGGCGGCGGGATTGTAAATTAAGCGGGGTGATTGCTACGCGAGCGGCTGCCATTGCGCGATTGATGGTAATTGATTGGGTCTTCTTGCTGGAGGTCGTCGTACCTGCTCGATCGGCGCGAGACGTATCGTCTCGACTCGCTGGACGCGGTCCCTATTGAACGAGAACGTGTTCCTTATCGACAGCCTCCTCAGTAACTCCATGAATGTCTGGGAGCCGACTTTCGGCACGCGGTTAAAGAACAGCACCTCTCGGTCAGCCCGCTTGGTGTTGTTGAGCACGTCGATGTCGAGGGCTTCGGACTCAGCGTACTGGAAAAATCGCAATGACATGTTTCGTTTCCTTGGCGCAGGTGTGATTTCTAAGCGAAACGTCACACACAATATACCGTCTCCGTAATATCCCGCCAGGATTTAATGAAACTCCCCATCCGACACTAAATGTAATCGTAGACTGGCAGATTTAAAATTGTTCTCAAGCAGCAATCACGAGTTTATTCGCCACTGATTGACGTAGCTTCTCCTTTTCTTCACCCCTCTCCCCCCTCTCTTTCTCTTTCTCCTTCTCGCCTTGTCATTCGCATCGTTTAAAACCGTTATTTTATATGACTGAGGACGCTTCCTTTTCAATTAAATTGAATTAATCCGTCGAAGAAATCGTTATGAGTCAACATCAAGAAGATTTGTTCTGTCGTGGAAAGTAGCGGGAAATAGATGCGCGCATCGTAATGTTATATTCCTTGTGATTGAAGTGTCGTCCATAGGAATTTCGTAGCTTGGGAAATTCGGAAATTTCCCCACGGACATGTATGACTTCGTAACGAAGCTGAAATCGAGTCTACATCAATAAATATCCGCGACTCGTAACGCGCTGAGTAACGCCGGTAATCAGGATGCACAAGATATACCGATACGAAGTGCAATTTACGGACGACTTTACCCGCTCATTTTCGGCGCTGACCTGCCATTATCGGCGTGCTTTCCGTTTCCTTGCTCGCTTGCGAGAAAGAGAGAACATATTGTTCACGCGGCGCATCCGATTCCCTCTCGTTAGGTAACGATTCGTGTTATTAGCAAGTCATTCCTCGGCATCAGGCGAACGAAGCCGGCCTTAACGCAAGTGCAAGTGCAAGTACCGGCAGCTACCAGCCACGTTGTGAATCGCAATTGCATCGCGGCGCAGAGCGTGGTAATAAGTGGCCCGTTCGCCCGTTCCCGCGTCGTACAACCTTCCGCGTGTATTTTTGCCGGCGGTAGCAACAGCAGTAACAGCAGCCATGTATATCAATCGCGTCGTTCGTGTCTTCTTTTTCGCGATATACGCACGCCACATGCTAATTTAATCGTTCCTTGCACATTGCATAGCCGTTCGGTCGCGACGATGTCGACCGTCTGTGCGAAAATCGACGCCTACGTACTACGCGTTGCGTACGTGCGAATCGCGAAATTAGAACGCGTCTTCTCATTTCCGCCTTTAAAACGAGATAGGAAAAGGAGAAAGGGAATGAAAGACGACCAGGAAGGTGAGAAGGTGCGGATCTATGTTTGAAATCTCTTCCGGAAGTCTATTAGTGCCGATGAAAAGCTCGACGGCCGACAATAACGCGTCCGGTTAAGATATCGACGAATTCTAATTATCTCACGAGAGAAAGAGAAAGAGAGAGAGGGTACAGAAAAAAATTTGCTAACAATTGAAAACCCCACTAGCCTTGCAAATTTATAGCCGTAATATACGGACAACCAGTTTGCTATACTACAGTAATTAAGTTACAGAGCTGCTAAGATTTATAATTATACTTAATAAAAAGTTGGATATTACAGCATAGAAGATTTGTTAGTACGCGGCAAAAATGATTGTATATCACCACTAAGAAAAAATATAGTTTGGTACGTATAACTAATCTTTTAGCTGTTATATTATAGAACATCTGGTACACTAATGAATTTTCATTTAGCTAAATTATTAGTTACTCCAGCAATAAAAGTCAGCTAGAGCTAAAATCCTCACTGAAATATTTCAAATATTTATTCTGCAACCACTCAAGAAATATAATAAAATATTAAAAATGTAAATATGTATATAGAGATATATATAATTTGTATCAATATATTATATCACAGAAACATATATTTTTATTAATATAAAAAGATGAATTTGAATTTCGAAACACACACAGTATATAACATATTTTTTTATCGCGGACATTTACATTCAAACTTAATGTACGCAAAGTGTATTCTCTGCGTAAAATGAACAAAACATTTCTTTATCTATTGAACAATTGTATGATTGCTTAGTAAAATTAATGAATCTGTGTTGTAAAATTCAATTAACTCGAAATACAAAGCGATTTGTTGCAGTAACTAAAATAATAACAATAAAAATAGATTTGCACAATGAGCAGATTGACAACTGCTTCTACGCATAATATCGTTGTATAGTATCTTCATAATATCTTCTTGTGTATTTTCACAATATGTTCTTATACTAACATATCTGCTTAATTATAACGTTTAATTTACAGCAAATTATAAATTTACCGAATCACCCAAATTATTTCTTTTCCGTAAAGATATCGGGCGAAAATAATTTTCCCTTGAGAAAGAAATGCACGTAGCTCAATTTTTTTTCATATTTGATGCGATCTTCAACCCGATTCTCTTTCTTCTTTGTCTCCTCAATTTTTTTCTGGTACAACGTGCAGACAATACGTAGTGCGTCAGCTGGTTGGCTCTCCGAACTATTTACCGGTTTATGAAGATTTACGAGGTGTATGATACATCACCGGTATGATGAATGAATAAATCTTGAACTCGAAGCAGGTCATTCGAGAATACGCTTACAACTGCTCGTAATATCTCTCAGACCACTTTCACTTTCGATACAGTTCAATAACATATATACATAAGTAAGATAACAAAAGTAATGAAAGGAAAGACAAGGTGGAATAGACATTTTTCTAGTTTTTAATTACTGTATAGTAATCATAAATCGCGCAGAACAACTATTTGTGGAGTTAATAGTAATTTTATGGATAATTGTGTCCGAATGAAGTTTCTTAAATGAATGAATCTTAGTAAATATTTGATTATAAGCAATTGCTAACACAGCGACCGGAAACCACTGTTATTAAAGGGCTCTTAATATATTTGAAATATGGTGTGTTAATTACCTTTTCTGTAATAATACGTTGCCCACTCGAGTAATGGACAATTCCATTCGGATTGGAGTCCGTTTGAACACCTTCTGAAAACAGACGATGACTTATAATACGCGCCTTACTCATTAATTAACTTTGCGAGATTAGCATAGTAACTAAAGCGATATAGCAACAAGATACATATGAACGATTGACTAACAAACGTTCTGAACGGTAACGTTTTTTCAGGTAACGGTATGAATTATGGGTTAATTAAGGTTAATATAACTTTTAGTTATTTACATAAATTTGTCGGTTAGACATTAAAAACTGTTAATGCCAATATAAACAAACATAGTATCTTTGAAGCAAAATTATTACACATTAAATTAATTGATTCTAAATTAAATGGAAAAATAATTAGGAATGTTTATGTATAAGTTCTAAATTATGAATCAGCAAATTATTTCGCGTTCTTGATGATACAATATACCTAATTTTAAATTAATAATGTCTATATCCATATTTTTTTCAAATCTATGTAGAATAGAATGGAAGGTCGTTGGGCCTCTCCACTCTTACTCAACATTCACACAAAAAATCCGCTTATAATAGAATACTGATTGCAGATACCCTAACACAAAAAAATCTATGTAGAATAATGGCATATATCTGACACAACTTATATATTACTAGTTTTATAAATCTAAAGACTCTATAAAGCAAATGATATTGTAGATATTTTTTTCTAAAATATTAAAAATTTTTGTGAATATAATCCTAAAACAAAATATAAAATATAAAAAAATATAAAATAATTTTTCTGTACTTATAATGTGTACTTTTTTAATAACATTAATACATTAAGTATGACCTGAAATTAGGATTCGAATTGTGTGTAATTGGGACCGATATAATATTTTGTTATATATATATATA